AGTAGTAATAGTAATAGTAGCAATAGTAGTGTTACTAGTACTAGTACTAATACCAGTACTAGTACTAGTACTCGTGATTGTTGTTGTTGTTGGTGTTGTTGTTGCTGCTGCCATCGTAGTTGTAGTAATCGTCGGCAAGAGAGACTTCAGAGTCTACGAGTCGAGGTGAATTTTGCTGTTTGCCGATTCTGGCACGTTCTGTAGCAGAGGGACTGTGGTCTTAGCAGTTCTTGGCAAGAGATTCTGTTCATTCAGAGACTTATGGTTCGCCATGAAGGTGCTCAGCCCGGAAGACATTGCAGCTTCTTGGTCCCGCGTTCGTCGAGTATATCTCGAGGTCTTGGAGGCGCCAGCAAAACAGAACAGGGGACGAGCGGTGACTCAACTCATCCCACCTTCATGTCCAGGCAGACGGCCAGAGCCTTCGCCGGGAGAGCGCCAAGCGGTTGAAGGCCGGGCACTTAGCTACTGCAGCTGAATCTCCAGACTTCGGAAGCTCGTAGCTGGAGCTTTGTTGGATGCCTTTGTGAAAGCCGCCCAGCGGTGGCAACCTGCGCCGGCTTGTCACGACATGTAACCGAACGTCTTCCTGCAGGCCGAGACTGCCATTTTCCGCCTCAGCGAGCTGGAAGCAGCTCAAGCAGGCCAGACGCAGAGTACCTACCGCAGACTCTTTGACCGTGGCGACTCGGCGACAGCATGCGACAGCGTTCCCTGTAGAGGCCTCCAAGAAAAGAGGCTGGAGCGGTGGAACCAGCAACAGATGGCTAAGGAGGAGGCACTTTCAAAGCATTCGCCATTTTCTCCAGCAGATTCCGATTCCTACATGGTTCGGGAGATGTTTGTACTTGTGCTTTTGCCATCCAGAGGCCTCGCAGCGCCGCCATGCTAGCCTCTCAAAGCTACCTCGCACATCTGCTGAGGCGCCCGGCTCGAGACACTCAGTTTTGTGGACTGTATGCCGTAGTAAGTGTAGTGAGCGAAGAACGGAGATTCGTGTGTCCACCAGCACTGTCCCTCACAGTGGAAGGACAGCGAGGCCGGCCGCCGTGGGCGAAACGGACGAATCCTGGAGGATGTGGACAAACTCCTGTACAAGTGGATCAGATGGTCCAGGCACGTTGCTCTTCAATACTCGGCCGTCAATTCCTAGTTGGTATTTCTACTTGGCAGGTCACCAATGCGCAATTCGAGAATCCTAGCTTTGGAAACCCGCGGGCGCAACGGACGACCAATCAACGCGAGCATATGAGATGGAGCCTCTTAAAAAGCTACCGCGACCTACCTACCACTTTAATATATCTCATATGATTGCAAACAACGTCTCCCCCTTGCATGCGTGCACCTTTTTATTGGAACAAACTTGCCAATTGATCCAAAATCTTTACACGATTGGAAGGATATAATCATCATTCCAACGTCAGCACTACCAAGTAGCTTGAATACTTACAATTTTGCTTTCCTAGATTAGAAAGCTTTCAGAATTGAAATGAAATATTATCATTATTAGTAATTATTTTGATAACATAGATTCTATCTGTATTGTCTTTACGTTCGGTAAAATCATAAATAATTCTATACGATATTAAATATGTTGCGATTCAAGATTGATTTCTTATTGTTGATTGTCTCTTTATTAGATTATTTCCAAAATAATAATTTTATTAAATTAAGATATAATTTCTTTTATACATATATATATATAGTATATAATCTTGATAAAGAATAGTTGAATTCTAATATTATGTATTACTTCGATATAATAATTTGATTCTAATTTCTTTTATAATTATATTTAATAATGAAGAGAATATTGGAGAAAATTGATTGTTAATAATATTTTCATTTCCGAGGTTATTTTTTCTCATAATTTATGATTTATAGAAAATTAGATTTCGATTAAATTTTGAAAGAGATACTCTTATAGATCTATTTTTTTCACTTTTTAAGTACGTGATATCGAGCACGATTGAGAGCATTCGTACACTATCTTGACGCGTATTATGAGCATAAGTTTTTTGGGGATAATATAGTATTTTTATAATAAAGAATTGGTTTTTTGGAATAGTATCTCACTTTTGCAAGAAAATTAATAAAAATATTATACTGACCCAAAAGAACCAATCTTTTTTTACAAAAGAGTTGTACTGTCCCAAAAAAAACCCAAAAATATAATCTTTTCTAACCTTGAATAAGCTACCGACTACAGACCTTCTAAAAGATTGATTATTTTGGAATAGTATAGTATTTTTGCAAAAAAAACTGGGTTTTTTGGGGATAGTACAACACTTTTGCAAGAAAATTAATAAAAATATTGTACTGTCCCAAAAGAACCAATCTTTTGTTACAAAAATATTGTACTATCCCAAAAACAATAAAAAATCCAGTTTTTTCCAATCTTGGAGCCCGTGAGATCCCAGGACCGGAAAAGATTGATTATTTTAATTTTTCTGGGAAATTCAATATTTTTGCAACAAAGGATTGGATTTTTTTGGGACAGTATAGCACTTTTACAAGATAATTAATAAAAATACTGTATTATCCAAAAAAAACAATCTTTTTTTATAAAAATGCTCTACTATCCCAAAAAAATCAATCTTTTTGATAGACAGAATGCCCTGCGAGGTCCCAGGACCGGAAAAGATTGATTTTTGCATTTTGTTGGGACAGTATAGCACTTTTGTAATAAAGGATTGGATTTTTGGAATAGTATAGCATTTTTATATGAAAATTAATAAAAAATACTGTACTGTTCCAAAAAAATCAATCTGTTTTGAAAAAGAGCTGTATTATCCAAAAAAAAAAATCTTTTTGGTAGATAGAATGCCTGCGAGGTCCCAGGACCGGAAAAGATTGATTTTTTGTTTTTTCGGATAGTATAGTATTTTTGCAAAAAAAAACTTGATATTTTGGGATAGTACAGCACTTATATAATAAAATGAAGCAAAATACATATAGTCCAAAAATACAGTCTTTTTGGAGGTCGTTATTGTGACAGCTGGATTCACCATAAATTTTTATTCTTTTGTCCACAGCGTGACACCATCACATCAATACTAATATTAGTTTTAGTCTTATAGTGATATATTGAAATATTAGCATATGGAAATACTGATTCTCTAGTATATCGTTGCGCGCATGTGGCGGTATTTCATTTTAGTAATACGTATATTCGTAGACAGTAGTATATCTATAAATATATACTAGTAACTGCAAAGTCTTAATTCTATTATGAATATGAAAGGGGATTATCGTGTTAGTCTGCATATTCGTGATCATGATAGTATTAATATCAGTATTGAAAGACTTATTAATATTCATATAAGTATTAAAAATAATAAATAAAAATTCGGGTATTAATTTATATAGAAGATAATATTTCTTATTTTAATAATATTGGAATTAATATTTGAATCAGTATAAATATTGATATTTATAATATTAGAGATATGAATATGATTATTAGTATTCGTAAGAGCAGAATATTCTTAATAGTAATATTATTATTATTATAAATATTCGTAAAAGAAATAATGTTGAAGAGAATTAATATTACTATAATTAAATTGTATTTTTTTTATAATTAAAATTATGATTAATATTGATATGAATACGAATATATTTATTCGTATGAATATTATTTATCTGAAAATAAATCTG